GGGCCATAGCGACTTTTTGTCGCTATAGCCCATAGCGACTTTAAGTAGCAAAAAAAACGAATTTAAAAAAAAAAGGCTAGTGTCGCTATGGGCCATATCGACATTAGCTTTTTTTTTTTAATTTTGATTTTTTTGGGTTATTGGGTTTTTTTTCTCTCCAGATTTATTGTACTAGTTTTTTTTCTAAAAATTATTTTGTAATTCATTTTTTTTTTTTTTTTTTTTTCAAAATTTTCGTTTTTTTGGGTTATTGGGTTTTTTTTTCTCCAGATTTATTGTATAGTTTTTTTTCTAAAAATTATTTTGTAACTCATTTTTTTTGTATTTTTTATTATCTCCATTTATATAAATACAGTCTGTCCCTAGAAATTTTTTTTTTCATTTTTTATTATGCACTATATACAATTTTTAAATAAAATATATCTGTTAAAAATTATTATATACTCAACATTCTAGTAAATTATTTTACAAAAATTTACTTAATTCCAATAAATTATTAACTTAATTTCTTTTTCCAAATTTTAATTTATATTATCAATTTCATATAAATATATATTTATAAATTTATTATTTCTATAATTTCTTTATTTTATACATTTTTTTTTCTTTTTTATCTATTTAAATATTTATAAAAGTGGCGCTATGGCCTATAGCGACACTGTGTCGCTATAGGCCATAACGCCACTAATTTTTTTTTTAAACTATTAACTTAATTTGTTTTTTACATTTGAATTTATTTTTTTTAAGCCGTTTGGTGGCGCTATGAGTTATAGCGACTTTATTTAAGCCGTTTAGTGGCGCTATGGACTGTAGCGACTTTACCTATATGGCTTTCATGGCTTCCCTGAAGTGAAAATAAATGCCACGTGTCACCGGTATCAAAAAGTCCCATTCGCATAAATACTTCAAAAATAGTCCCATTTACGTAATAAAATTTTAAAAGAACCTCACTTTAGTCAAAAAGCCCAATTATAACCTTGATAAAAGAATAGTAGAAAAGATATTAAAAAGGAAAGTGACACCTATCATAGAAAAACCTCGACCCTTGTATAGATAGATACTGGATTTTTCATGCGGTGAAGTTGTTGCTAACAGGAAGTCAACCCACAGATCCTTGACAAGTCGCCTTTACTATATCTTTTCCCCTAATTGTCCGGAGATTATTTACCAATCATAACGAGATTATGCGGGTAACAAAAAAAAACTATTTATCAACCATTTATATCATCTTTCCACATCCCACTCCATTTATTATAATAAATCAGATAATATTTTTTTAAAAAAATTATTTAATTTTTAAAATATTATTTTATGAATGAATTGAATATTCAATAGATTGAATTTTTCCCCTTAAAATAAATAAGATGATTGAAATTTTAAGTTTATTTTTGATAAATATAAATTGATTAATAAATTATTTTTATACTATATATCATGATCTGTCCTAAAATCATTCAACACATATATTTGTCACCTCTAATTCTTATTAAAGAAATATTAACTAACCATACTTTCTCTAATACTCTTTCAAACACTCCTTATTATTTGCAAAAATATATTAAAAATCACAAATTTTAATAAATCTCTACTCTAATATGATAATGATATTATTAAAATTTGTGATTTATTTGCCTAAATATAAGAGTATTAAAAAGAGTCGTCTCTTGTTATTATTACAATTTATTGTGGTATGAAGACACATAGCTTTAGGTAGTCGACTACTTCAAGTAATATGTAGCTATGCTTCCACTTGCTCCTTTAGGGTAGAAACCACCGGGAACATGTTCATCACCGGTTCCATATACTATCCTCAATATTTCTTCAGGAGTCCTCCCAAATGCCAATGATTCATTGTCACCTGCAAGAATGTTCCCCGTGACTTTGCCCTCAGCACCTTGCTCTCTAGGCACCACAAGACCCTCATCCTTCACACCTGCGTTTCCCAGCTTGTTCCTAAGCGCTGAAATGCGATTTGTGAACTCTGCCACCGTCACTCTATACGGACGCACTACTTGATCTTTGCGTTCGTATAACAATGATCGAAGAACTGCATCTTGCCCAGACTCTACTCCCAGAAGCCCTGCAACAAGCTGATCATGTATATGCACGTTATACATCATTCTGTGACATCTTAGGCACTCTTTGATTAATATTAATTTTTGTTTCGTAAACATTTGTGTAACATATTTTGTCACGAAATACCAATACTGTATATCTCAATATGTGAAAGTGAATAGTGATTACCTTACGTCTAGACTTTATCTAATGAGAATGAGGCCAAATTTAGTAAAAAGGAGTGGATTATCTGTTTGGGTTAATTAGGGGTTTACCTTCTTTGAGGTAGCATTTTGTAGCTGTGGATTGGCACCGACATAACCAGTGAGGCCAACATAGGGAATTACGTAAGATGCAAGTAGATAGTTGATCGAATTAACATAGGGGTTAAAGGGAGGGTTCAGAGGCCTTCCAAACGCATTATTCATTATGTCAGCAAAAGATGTTGTGCTTAGATTCAATAATGGCCTAGGGAACCCTCTCACGGTGCTCTTTATGGCCCTGCAAATAAGACACAAATCTTCTCTAAGATTTTCATCCTTTTGACCTAAAAGTAAGGGAAAACTTCATACAAGACTATACACACTGTTAGTACCGTTTTTCTATCAGTACTATTTTTCAATAAAAAAATTCTTATGATAATTATATACGTTAATATTTAATAAAATTTTTTTGTTAAACATATATAAAATTAAAGTTTTATTATGATAATACACGTTAATTTTTAATAGAATCTTTTATTAAATATAGAAGATGGCTATGAAACTTTAGTTTTGATTAGAGAATAACAACAAAAGTACAAAAGTTTCATCCAAAAGTAATAGTAATTGGAGAAGAGAATATAGAGAGAACAAAACCTCAAGTGTCCAACTTCTTGGTAAGCAAACTGCGTTATGATATCCCTAACAAGGTTGTCAAGATTGGCCAATCTAGCACCAACGGGAGAGGGTCCTCCTCCAGTGAGGTTTGGAGCAACCACATCCAACCCATAACCCAAAGCCCCAATCAAGAAGAACTCAGCCTCCAAATATTCCAAGTTTAGAGGAAATTCCAAAAGATCGGTATCTGATTTCGGGGCTTCACCACTTGCAATGGCCACAAAAGAAGAATAACATAACAAAACAACAACACACACTCTGGAAATGTTAGGTGCCATGTTTTGTTTTGTTTGCACTAGTGATAATGCATAAGCTGATTACCCGGGCATATTTATATACAACAATCCGTTTGGTTCATGCAGGAAATGCCACGTGGCAAGAGAACGAAACTTGGTCCAATTTATGGGTTTGCTACGTGGGGGTTTATGGATAAATTAGGTTTGCGTGATTGAACGTGTATTGGTTTTTTTTTCTTCTTTTATTCTCATTATTATATATTTATTTCTTTTCTTATAGAAAAGTCAAACCTACTCTTTCTCTTCATTTAATAGTGCTTCATGTTCTTTTTACTTGGTTGAGTTCGGACTTTGGTAATTGGATTGGGAGGAGGCACAGAAAGGATGTATTCAGTTTCTAAACTAATTGCTGATAATCAATGCATGATTGCAACAATTCTGTGCGTCGTATAATTTTTTTTTTTTTTTGAGTAACTAGAATTAGGGGCAAATATTTAAAATTTAACGAGAGTTTGTAACATGGGACTAGTACCCAAATATGAGGAATATAAAAAAGTTAATGTGAGTAGGGACAATATTTTAACAAGTAGTTGTGCAAATATCTTTCTTTTTTACATCATTACACTATCCAGAGTTCACAAGCTTTAACCAGCAGTCACAATCTGAAAACTTATGGGTTCCATTTGACTCTTCTGAGCTTGCGTGAGGCCGAGGTACTAGAAGTTATATCATCTGCCAACTTACAATTTTGGGCAGTGAAGACGTATGTGTGTCTGCAATTTTTTGTTTCTAATTTTTTTACAATAGAAATTTCCTTACGTTCCCATATACATAAGTTACATATGTGACTTTTTTCTTTTTTAAGAATCAAATTTCATATAAAAAGATTTACAATAACGTATACCGTTTAATCAACTAAGCTAGATTACTCGGTATGACGGAAGTCTTGATGCAACAGGTAAGGTTGCTGTCATATGTGACCTGAATGGAACCTGTTCTTTATTATTATCATTATTAGTATTCTAAAGTTTTGCAAACATATTATGGGTGAAGAAAGGCCAGGATTGGAGACTGAATGAATGGCGTATGAGAAGGGTAGATGACTGGGATGGTGAAGATGAGGTGGATGACTATGATGGCGAGGATGAAATTATTTTTGTATGGGCGTGAGGATGATATGGATTCTAGAAATGAGACATCGGCAAATGTTAGCCAGAAATAAGAAAACTGAGGTATGAGAATTGAGAAAGTAGTAGGTAGCTAGGTAGGTGTTATCTTCATGATTTTTGTTTCCATAGGAATGAAGAGCCGTTCTAGACGTTATGCTTTTAAATATATAGGAATATATATATGATGATGTAAGTAATTACGATGGCTAATAAAGTTTGCTAAATTCGGGAAAATTTACTTCTGTAGATTGGTTAAATGTTGACAAAATGTTGTTGATAAGCAATAAACTGATTTTGTGTAAATTATAAAATATCTCTTAAATGTGTGGGTTTCTTTTTCAATAGACAAATTTATAAGGTGCAATCTTTATTCAACTGTATGTCACTTTATTTATAGTTTTTTATATAGGTTTCCTTTACGAGTTATCAAAACCATAAACACCAAAGAACCTCAATTTATAACTGTTGGGTAGTTCTTTGAAGTGCACTGGGAATTGGGGTATATAGGTTAAGGTTTGCCAACCTATCCATTTAACTTACAGCCCACTTGAATATGGCCTTAGTTTTTTTTTTTTTTTTTTTAATTTGTTGTCTAGTTAGTAAAACTCACAAATTTCAGAGTTAGTCTGCAAAGTTTTTAGGCTAGCTGGTTTAACATTAAAATTTAATAATGTTTGTTTTTAATATATTAAGACTTTGATGTTTGAGTAGTGTATTTTGATTATTAAAATTTGAACATACAAATTTAGATTACATTAAGATATAATCCTATGTAAAGTTCAAGTTAATCTAATTTTTTAAAGAAATTCTGGTAGAATTATGAATTCCACCGATCCCATTTTTTAGTATAATGTTTGTAGGAAAAAATATTAAATATAAGAAAAATTGAATTCGATTCCTACTTTATGAAAATTTAGTTTTGACAATTCAACGTTACTGATAATTAGTTTTTACATTTAAAATTTAAAATTTTAAAAGATGATATAACATTTATGTTTAATTTCTATACACAGGAGTGTTTTAGTACATAAAAAAAATTTATTGTGATAAAAATACCATATTACTTTAGTTTTTTTAGTGCAGTAAATTATTTTTAATTTCAGAGTAATTAATATAATATTCATAAATATTTTTATAAATATTTATGATTAATCAGATATATTTTAATTATTTATAGAAATTATTATTCTCGAAATTTATGATTCCCATAAATTATAATTCTCATACATAAAAGTTTTCCTTTTCTACCAAACACTCTCAAAGAGTAAATTTTTTACATTAATAAATAAAAAACTATCATAGATATGATTTTGAAAGTAGTTAATGTAAAAGTTAACAATTATTTATTTATTTTCTTCTTTCAACATTGATTGACAAGTGATAACGACCTTTAACCAAGGTATTCAGGATGCGAATCTTGACCTTATGTATAAAATAAACTATGTTGGAAAGAAAATATTTATTTCGCATATATAAAATGTCAATAATCTCGCTTTTGGGTTAGGTGATGTATGTAGATTATTATTTATTAAATAATTGTTTCTATTTCTCCTTTGAAAAAAATATTATTTAGGCAATTTAAAATTATTATCAAGTGTCTATAATCTCAATCAATCATTATATAATATATATTTATGTTTTTTAATTTATGAGAAAAATTTAATACCACTTGATTACATGTTATATAAAAACAGATTATGTGATTTAAAAACTAGAACTATCTAATAATTATTTTCTTTAAATGGACACAATAGTTAAGATAAATGATCAATGAAAGATACATTCAAATATTTGTTACAACAACTTGTATTTTTTTTAATGCTTAAGAAAAATGATAGATATGGAATGATTATAAGTTTTTTTTTTGTAAGATTTTTTTAATAGTCTTTTACATTAATTATTATAGGCTTAAATATATTTTTAGTTCCTATAAAATTGACAATTTTGATTTTGGTTCCTCTAAAAAATTTTCTTTGTTTTTCATCCTTCTAAAATTTATAAATACTATTTTTAGTTTTTGCACAATGATTAAATTTTGATTCCTGTAAAATATTTTTCTTTGATTTTTATCCCTTTAAAATTTAAACCAATTATTTTTAGCCCCTAATGGTCATTTTAGAGTGGATAAATAACATTTATTTTAAGAACTAATTAATAAATAAAAAGTAATTAAAAATAGTCACATAAAAATAAGGACTAAAAATAATAATTTTAATTTTATAAGGATGAAAAATAAAGGAAAAATTTTATAAGGGCTAAAATTAAAATTTGTTAATTTTATAGGAACTAAAAACATATTTAAGTTATTATTATATTTATTAAAATACTATTGACTAAATAACAATTTATTAGATAAAAATAATAAATACTAAAATTAATATGACAAATTCTTTCTCTCTTTTATGAGATTGAAAAAGACAAGTAGCCATAACTTTAAAATAATAACTATTTAGACGAGAAAAAAATAAGTAAAAGGATAAATAAATAAATAATTTAAAATATTTAGGATAATTTTAAAAAATCAGTTCAAATTATTAATGAATTCAATATCATTAACTAAATTATTCAATATTCTTAAAAAAATAAATTAGTTGAAAGAGTGACGAAGATAAATCATATAGAGAGGGGTTAAATAAAATATAGGAATGTATCGCTTTCAGCCGAGTAGTATCATTTGAGCAAATCCGATCCAGCAGCACATGCCGAGTGATCGTTTCAATCTCAACTTTCTGGTAAGTTTTATTGGATGGCTACTGCTTCCGAGAGCTCTTCGGCGAGTGGGTTTCAGCCTCACCATCCGAAGCATCTGGAATCCCCTCATCTTCGAGGTCATCATTCGGCGCGTCGCTGTCGGGGACAGCCCCCTTGGGCATATCCTGAAAAGACATAAAAGATCCTTGGTAGAAATCTTTCGACATGTCAAATTCAAAGCCTTCCCTAAAGCAACCGAAGTGTTGTGCTTGCCAAAGAGCATGGCGAAACCCAACTTCATGTTGGGCCACGATACGCTCCTTGGCTTGCTCTTTCACCCGCTCCAGTTCCGCCTTAGCTTCCTCCATTCGGCGCTTTTCTTTGTTCGCGGCTTTTTGCATGTCCAACCGAAGAGTATCATTGTTGCGCCGTTGCACGTCAAGCTCAGCTGTAAGTTGGCGAATTTTCGCTGATGCCTCCTCGGCAGCCGCCATGGCCTCGACTGTGGCCTTATCGGCATCCTTAACCCTTTGTCTCAATTGAATCAACTCGCCGATTGGCTCCATAGCAAGGTGATGCGCGAGTGCCAGCGACTGAGACTGTACCTCACAAAAATATTTCCATTTGGCCATGGTATCCAACTAGCCTAAGAACTCATGGCCATGATCCGAGACTGCGTTTGGTCGAACCAGTGACTCGGCAGTGACTTCTTCACTCAGAAAGGCCCTAGACATTAGCATGGGGGGCACACAAATAATTGTCCCACACAGAGAGGACACTGAGTGCTTGGATTTCTTGGTCTTTTTCGGTCTCTCCTCATTACTTTTTCGCTTCGGCCCCTCTTGAATAACCTCCTTCCCCTTCCTCACCTTTCGGTGTTTTCGTTCTGGGGTAGGCGGAGTTCGATCATCTTGTTCTGGACGAGGCGTTTGGGCAAGCGCCGAACTGCCCACAACCCCTGAAGCCCTAGCCTGTTGCATCCGGCCAGCCAAAAGATTGTGGATGTTGAACTCATCGGCACCACTTGTCACCATGATTCCTGCACCAATAACGAAGTAAACATCAATAGGAATTTACTTAAAGGCCGAAATAGGAAAGTTACGTACCTATCAAATCATTCTCCCATCAGGAAGACTCAACTACGTTTATTAAAGCCTTAGTCGGCAAGTGCCTAGGAAGTTGAAGTAAAAATTGCAAATCCCTTTGCTCTTCTGCTGTGAGCATCTCATCCGGCACTACATCATACGGCCGAGGGGCACGGGTCCAGTACAACGGAAAAAAGCTCTTGTCGTCAACCCCAAAGAAGAAACGCCTTCCGTTCGGACGAATGGTCACTCGGAAAAATCCCGCTTTAAAATTCTTGTACGACGACGTAAAGCTATCCAATAGTTGCCGAGACCCTACTCGGCTAAGAGACACCCATTTGGCCAAATCTGAAGGGCGGGACGAATAGAAAGAAAGAAAAAGTAGGGGTGAAGGCCTAATGTTCACACATAGGCATAGATGCTTGAAACCTTGAAGTTGGGCCCAGCTGTTCGGGTGTAGTTGGGTCGATGCAACGTTTAAGACCTTAAGCACTCCTATAGTGAACTCATCAAATGGTAGTCTCACCTTAAGGTCTCGCAAAAGGCAATCACAAATGTAGAACGAGGCCATCCTATCGGGAAATGCATTGTTTCGGCAAGCACGCACGCCAATCGGATACGGATTCTCGCCAGAGTTGAAATACAGACACTTGGTGTACCCCAATAAGTTGGTTATCATGGTGGTATCTCGGTAGCGAGAATAGTAGGAAGTCACTTCTCCATTGACCCAATCGTACACTAATTAGTTTAGGACCAAATTGAAACAAAAAATAAAAGTGGGACTAAGTTGAAACAAACAATTAATATAAGGGACCAAAATAGGGTTTTAACCAAAAAACTTTACACTAGCAGTATATATATATATATATGAGAAATTCTATTATAACCTCAAAATTTTAAAGGATTTAGAAACTGTTTTTGTTTTTTTTTAAAAAAAAAAATATATGAACATTTGGTATTTTAGTATAATTTGATTATATTTATTATTTTCTTAAAATCCTAATATATATATATATATATATATATATATATAATTTTTTTTTAAAGCAGAGTTTTAAAAGTCGAGTCAACTGAAAATTGGGGCAGATAACGGATTCGAGTTGATAACGTCCTCAAACCCGTAAAAATGGGCGAGTCACGTTGCTTTGAGGTTGAATTTTAAGTTCAGTTATTGAAAATTATGTCAAAAAGCCTAAGTTTCAGGTTCAGGACCATCTCTACATTATCATTACACCATTCAATTTTTTTTATTTATATTTAACAAAAATATATTATATATTATATTTTTAATTTAAAATTATATATTAATTTATCCATTTCAATCAATTTATCATTTTTTTGCTCTATTAGTATTATATTAATAATAATTTTTTTGGAGGTTTCTTTTAAAATATCTTGTGAATTTTATTAAAGTTGTTGGTTAAGAAATGGTCAACTGTTCCACACTATACAGAAGGAGTTTGGATTTCAATTTGCTTTGTTTATCGGTGGATTGGCATGTTAACTCGTTTAAGAATAAATTTTTTATTTAATATATATATATATATATAACTAAATAAATTAACTTAATTTTTAAATAATAATTTATTTAGGCACAATAAAATAAATAAAAATTTATAAAAAATTAACGTGACTATTTATATTTAGTTAACGAGGATATATAATTATATGTACTGTAATACAAACCTATAACTAATGTTAATATAACTATTTTATTTAAATATTGTATGTAAATATAACAAAGTAAAACCTTAACGTACAAAAAAGTAACATAATATTAGAAAATTTAAAAGAGGAAAAGGACAATGGATTGGTGGAATGACTCTCCTTCAACCTGATTTTGAGTCAACTGCTAAAATGGTAAAACATTTGAAACCATTATACATCAAGGCTTGCTTACTTGAGTTTGGCTAATCATGTTTTGATGTATCTAGGATCTTTTTGAAATCCTAAAGCTTCTACAACTTGTAAAAAAAAAATCATTTTGTCCTTATTACCATCAGATTGACCACTAAATCTAATGGAGAAAAAAAAAATTATAAGGACCAAAATTTAAGAGGACCAAAAGAAAAATAACTAAAGTTTAAAGGATTTAAAGGAAACTACCTTATTTTATAGGGACTAAATATTTATTTGGGCCAAATTTATAAAATTTAAATCTTTAAACACAATAAATACACTAATATTTGATAATAAAAAAAATTATTATATATAACAAATGCATTAATTGTAATGCCGTTGATTTCTTAATGATTGATTAAGTGGTTGTAAATAATAAAATTCCAACATATATGCATTAAATTTAATGTGATAAAATTTAATATCTTAAGTGAGTTTATGTGTTAGTAATGTTATATGGACTTTTTGGATCTTTGAGAGTGTTGGACAAGTTAGCTGTGGGTTAGGTTTAGTGGGATCGAAAGACACAACTATAAACCCTCTCAAAACTCTTCCATACACTCATAATTTAGATTTTCACCCTAAGGCTCCCTTTCTTCTTCTGTTCTCATGATAGAATTTTCTTCTCTAGAGGTGATGAGTAGAAAACTCTTTCCTAAAGGCAACCCATTTCCCATTCTCCATACCATTTGGTGATTCTCACTTGTGGTAATTAGCTCTAGCACTTCATCTTCTTATTCCCGTATCTAAATTTATAACTAGATGAAGGTCTCCTTAGTATCCAATTTCTGACATGGTTTTGATTGGGTGTGACTTTTGGTGTTTCATCAAGCTTGTTGGTTGAAGAGTGTTCCACCAGGTTGTTGCAAACCTAGTTGTGGTAAGCCATTACCTCTCTTATTTTCAATAAAAGTAAAAGTCTTTTGCATCATCAAATATAGGACTTCTTGAATGATCGAAGTCGAGTACTATGTGAAAAGATGTTTTTATGTTGGTAGATCAAAAGTTGAAAATCTCCTTGGAACTGTTTGCATGGTGACCAATTAAATTGCCTTGCATGATGAGTGTGAATGTGGATGATGATTGGAGAAATTGCCTTGTATGGGAATGGAGATCCAATTCTCTATTTTATTGCTTTTGTGGTAATGACTAGCATAGGAAATGGATTATGATTTATGACTTTGAGTTGATGTGTGTTTCCTATTTGAGTACATTAGAGATTGTAGTGATATAAACATTTATACTTTAAATATGCTTATAAATTAATTATTTTAAAAAATAATAAAATTTTCAATCATATATATAATTTTTTAATAATTACATTTTACTTAAGAATAATATATATATATATATATATTATTTTTTTATTTGTAGAAATTACAATATTACGACTACAAGATCGAATCAATATGTATTTTTTTATGAAAACTCATATTTTAAAAATTATATATTACATTTATAGATATGATAATCTAATACTTTTAATAATTACTATAATTAATATATTATTATAAATAAAATTGATTTTTGAATGACATTAAATGCAATATTAATTAAATATAAGAAATGGTCAAATCATTAAAGATAAA